GGTGTGTGTGGGGGGGGGGGGGGGGGGGGGGGGGGGGGGGGATTTGGCCTTGCCCTCTTCTTGAACCATAAACACTAGAGGAGCAGACAAGCAGAAAAATTCCCTGCCTTCCTGGGGGGAGAGGGAGCAGGGTGAGGGGGCATAGGGTTCTGGCTTACCCTTGTGACAGCAGGCTCTAGCTGCACAGGGTAGGCTGTAGTCATGGGCTCTGACCCTGAAGTTTCAATGGGGAGATAGAGAAGTGGACTCTATCTCTCCCCACTGTTGGGCAACACTAGAGGAGCAGACAAGCAGAAAAATTCCCTGCCTTCCTGGGGGGAGAGGGAGCAGGGTGAGGGGGCATAGGGTTCTGGCTTACCCTTGTGACAGCAGGCTCTAGCTGCACAGGGTAGGCTGTAGTCATGGGCTCTGACCCTGAAGTTTCAATGGGGAGATAGAGAAGTGGACTCTATCTCTCCCCACTGTTGGGCTTTGTGCTCCTGTCACTGGGCTTCTGGCTCTAGCTACTGGGCTTGAGGCCAGGTCCACACCATCGCATCTAACCCCACTGCCTGCCTCCCCATCCAAGGATTATTAAGTCTCCTGGGAAAAGCAATGTTTTAATTAACATGTTTGTTAATATCACTTTTCACTGCCTTGCAGCTAGCTAACTAGCCTGCTGCTGAAACATAACTTTTCAAAGAAGCAGACTTACTACCGAGTCCTAGATTTCAAAGGGCAGTTTATCAAATAACTTCAGAGAAAGCCAATCCTGCCAAAAGAAGAGACATTTCTAACTATTAATCTGTGTTGCACTTCTGAGTCATATATGCTACCATCTTCTCATTGCACTAATGCCTATAAAAGTTGGCAATACAGGTATTTAATTATATGCATGCCAAATTTTTCAAAGGTGTTTTAGAATGCAAATCTGTTTGGCTAGATAGACCAGCAAAACTGGTTTCAAATGACCTCATTTATTGCCAATCCAAAACTCCAAGTGCTCCCATAAGAGTGTGATACAGTGAGTTGCCAGTGCAGAGCCTTGTAGAGCAAAGAAAACAGAAGACAACATCCTCAGAGCCCAGTCTGGATAGCAATGGAATTTGGTGCCCCTCATGATTAAGGTA